ACATCTATCCTCTGTTACAAATCAAAATGTAGATGCGTTGTCACCCGTAAGGACTAAGATGGAATGCCTCATTTCCAGTAAAAAGGGCCTCCGGCCACCTGCACTCACCAAGCGAAACGCAGAGGTAAACCTCTACTTCACGCTGGTTTTCTGTGAGGTCGTGGTACTACCCCGGTTCGAGCCGGCCCATCGGTGCGACAGCAAAAGCTGCCGCGTGGCTCTACCACTGTTAAAAACAACATCGTAGAGCCCTGTTGCAGCTATATAATATTATGGTTGTAGCACGAATGGTTCGGCTTGACCGGGGTAGGAACACGCTCTCACAGAATAACAGCGTTAAATAGCAGCTTAATGCTGCTGTGTTTCGTATGGAAGTGTAGAAAACTGGATATATTTTTCACTGGAAATGAGGCATTCCATCTTAGTCTGTTGTAGATGTAGATGTCTATGGATCTTTTTGATGATATTGTTCTTGATATAAAAATAAAACTTGAATAGTTATAAATATATTATTTTGACCATTTGATCACGTGCCACATATATTGTCTGGAACTAATTAGGAATTAGTTGGAACTAATTTATTATTACAATACAGTGCTGAGTGCAGTCAATATTTTTCTATAAAAAATGATACCAAATTTTTTTTATAGAATTTGGTAAAGTAAAAATAAACAGACACATAGTCCACCTGATGGTAAGTGTTAATTATTATTAAGAATCAAAATGCAGATGTGTTCTCACCCTTGAGGACTAAGACGGAATGCTTCGTTTCCAGTACAGTGTCTCTGGTTCTCTACACTCACCACTCACCATACGAAACACAGCAGCATTAAGCTTTTATTTTACGCCGGTATTCAAGTCTTTCAAATTCATTCATTCAATGTATCTGCGAAGGATCTTAAACTTATATTCGATGTGCCTTATAAATTTATTTTGAATCCCCTGAATAGCTTTTACATAAATATGATACTGGGGCTTCCATACAACTGATGCATACTCAAGACGGGAACGAACAAAAGAATACACAATGGAAGGATTCTTGAAACTGTCTGGCTGTTGTTTGAATATGAATGAAGCTAAATGACTGTCTGAATATGAAATCTCTAGCAAGCGAAAAGCCTTAAATCAGAGGAAAAAAGCAGTGCTTTATATTATACGAGTGTATGTCGTAGAGCGATTTTTATATTGAAGACATCATAAAGCGGCTGGTTTTTGTATGGAAGAGTGATATGCGGTCAAATAAGTAATTAATAATCAATTTAAACTAAAAAATTAAATTAATTTAATCGTAATTAAACTTCATGAACAACCACTTCATGAACTGAAATGAATTTAATTTTTTACGTGGTAGCACACTGCAGCTATATTATAGTTGTAACACGAATGGGTCGGCTCGACCGGGGAAGGACGACGATGTATTTGTAACAGTAAGTAAAAGATTGTTTAACCAAACAATGCGATTGTTTTGCCAACAATTTATTAAAAAAAAGTTTTTTTTCTAGAATTTATTTATAAACGAGCACAGAGTCCAGTAATATATATGTTGTCAAAAACATAACTTGTAAAAAAAGCCAAGTTTCGCAACTCAGTTCTTCTACCGTAAAAAGTTGTGAGATCCATGTAATACCAAGTCGGTTCATTTATTCAGTTTCTACTTAAGCGTCCGTAATAATTTAAGACAGAAGGACCCTTAAGTAGGGACTGAATAAATTAACAGATTTGGTATTACATGGATCTCACAACTTTTACGGTAGAAGAACTGAGTTGCGGAACTTGGCTTTTTTTACAAGTTATGTTTTTGATGGCATCTCATTTCTTTTTTTATGCTTGAAAAAGTTGGTAAGTAATCATTTATTAAAGACAATGCTTCTTAAATGAACCGTCAATCATCAAATATACCTCTTATGAGGCGTTCTATGTGGCAGAATTTAGAATTTACACCAAGAGGGTAACAGCACCCCTGGAGAATCTCTCGCTGAGCATCCACGACCTAGCTACTCCACTTCTGAGGGTGCTCAGGGTGCCCTGCGTATTCTGGGGAGGGGGGGGGGGGTAATTCCGCTCAAAACTGCTCGGGGCAAACTGAGCAACAACACCAACGACTCACAACGACTCCTGCCACGCTATCCGTGAATTTGCAACATAAGGAGACACAGGTGTCTGATCCGGCTGATATGGGACCTATAGAGGCATCCGTAGATGCGTGGATGGTTGTCACTGTCTACGCGTAATCAAAGGATGGACAGGTCCCATCCTTGAAGACTGCCGAGGCGTCGAGAACAGATGTCCTCTCTGACGTATACACAAACTCCAGCCCGAGGCACAAAGGAGTGTTCCAATTTGTACCTCGGGTAGCAGAGAAACGAAGCTATTAATTTTTGGTCCGCTCTACGCCGAATGAGCTTACAGTATCTTGAAGTCTTACAGTGGTATGCTTGGGTTTGGATTTAATTTTATTATTATTGTTGCGCGCCACTATTAATGTCTTGTACATGGCAACACTAGTTACACTAGCGCCCTTTAGTGTCGAGTAGCGGAACTAGGAGAGTCAAGATCCTTCCAGAAATTTCGGGACCGATATGTGCTCGAACATTCTAGATGTCGCTACAGTGGAAGGTTCTGGAAACTGTCTGAGGCCCTATATAAAGCCGGTATAGACCACGACCAGGGCAGTATTGAATTGGCGATACAAGAGAATACTTCGAAGCGAAATAACTGCGAACTAAAATGATTGTGTTTTATTATTAGTGTGGTTTTAGATTGTAATTATTATTGTGTAATTAAAGTGTCAATTTTGGTAATTCCATCGGCAGTTTTTAATTGTTTCGAACCCCCAGCTCGTAACAATTGGCGTCAGAAGTGGGATCAAATCATGCCGATTTTACCAAAGGACGACATGGAGGGTATCCGTACCCGAAGTCAACGCCAGCTCGAGACGGACCAGAGACGATTTGGTGGTGCAACGTCGCAGACGTCGGAGCGCCAGCTGCCAACCACGGAGGCCGGCCCGTCAGCAGCTCCTGCATCTGCAGCACCTGACTTAGGTGCTCTGATGATTATGCTGCAGGAGCAAGCCCGCCGACAGGATGAACAGGCCTGTCGGTTGGAAGAGCAGCTGCAGCGCGGTATGGAAGAGCAGATGTTCCTCAGGGAGGACCTTCACGCTACTTTTGGGAAAGAGATAAAGGAGGTGAAGGATAGGGTTGCTCAACATGACAACCGCCTGTCGGAAGCTGAAACCCGAATCCACCAAGTGTACAATCGGGTTGACAACGTGATGGCTGACGTGAAGAAAACGCTGGGCGACCTCAAACTTGGGGATAGAGTTACAGCTCCCGTGGTAGCTACAACACCTTCGCTACGCGGATTCAAAGTGCCACCGTTCGACGGGACTTCTTCCTGGTCGGCCTATAAAATCCAATTCGAGGCTGTCATGACGGCAAACAGCTGCAATAAAAGTCAGGCCATGACTGCTCTCACCCTAGGCCTACGTGACCAGGCCTTAACTGTTCTGGAAGCTCTCGGTAATGAGGTGACTTACGAGCAGCTCCTTGAGGCATTGGAGGCGCGATATGGCGACGCTCACCTGGAATACGTCTTTCGTGCGCAGCTCAAAGATCGCGTGCAACGCAGTAAAGAAAACCTGCAGCAGTGGGCCCTTGATGTGGAGAAGCTGGTTCGAAAAGCATACCAGTCTGTACCTACGCTCATTGTAGGGAACCTGGTGCAGACATTCATCGACGGCATTCACGACCTTGAAGTCAGAGCTACTGTGAGGCTCGGGCACCACGAGACGCTTAAGGACCCCTTGATCCATGCACTGGAGGCGGAAGCCGTGCCGCAGGATCATCATTCCCATCGCGTCAGGGATGTTGCAGCAGCTACAGTTTGGGACCGCTATAATGGCTACAGCCCTAGGTGCTACGGCTGTGGGGAAAGGGGCCATTTTCGATCCAGCTGCTCTAAACGAACTGTAGAATAGGAAGGTGATCGATCTCGAGAGGGTAGTGTGGCTAACAGCACCGCCCAGCAGCAGCAAGGAAACTGGCGGGTGCTGGCTGATGTTAAAAGAGCCCAAAGGATTTCGATCTCACAAACCCGTGATGGGAACAGCCTGATCATCAAGGGCGAGGTCAACGGAACGCCGTGTAAACTGACCATAGACACTGGAGCCCCTCGCACGGTTGTCAGTTCACAACTTATATGTCAGTTCCTTGGGGACTCCGCATACAACCGTGAACGCATTAATTTGGTGACAGCCATTGGTCAGCGCATACCCGTCCGTGGAGAAAAGGAGATGGAGTTTAAGCTAGGCAACATGATCTACCTGCATAATGTCATCGTGGCTGATATAATGGACGACTGCATCTTGGGCCTAGATTTTATGAGGAAGAATTGTTGTGAGATCGACGTTAAGCAAGGTGTTTTGAAATGTGGACAAGAGGAACTTTTCGTGGAAGGGGCGTTACCAGGGAATGTGTACAGCCTTAAGAAGATTGTTCTTTCGCCAAGAAACGATTGTGCCGGTTAGTCTTCCTCGGAGTCCTGGGCAAGCTCATCGTTGTGTACTCGTGGAAAGGGTAGACAATGACCTTCCATGGAAAGTGACTCAAACCTTGGTCAGAACCACCGACATCTCAGGAGTACGTGTGTTGAACCTTTTTGATCAGGAACAGATTATAGAAAAAGGCACATTGGTTGGTACTAGTGAGGAAGTGGATTGGTTGCGTCGGTGCGAATATCTATTGACTGGGACCCCCAGCAAGGATGGACAAACGAGAGTGACCACACTTTTAGAAGACTGTCGCAGCGTTCTCTCCCCGAATGAAATGGTCAAGGCGAAGAAGTTGTTACTCAATTACGCCAATGTTTTCTCGTCAAACGAAGCTGACATAGGAAAGACTGGCTTAGTTCAACACAAAATAAATACAGGAGAAGAATTGCCTATTCGTCAGTGGCCAAGGAGATTGCCTGTAGCACGTGAAAAGGAAGTGGAAACCATGATTGAGGGAATGGTGAAGGATGGTGTTATTGAACCTTCATCTAGTCCATGGTGTTCACCTGTGGTGCTGGTAAAGAAGAAGGACAGCTATCCCTTGCCAAGAATTGATGATACGCTGGACATGCTTACAGGCGTAAAGTGGTTTAGTACGCTGAACCTGAAAAGTGGCTACTGGCAGGTTGAAATTGACCCTAAGGACAAGGAGAAAAATGCATTCTCCACAGGAAAGGGTCTGTGGCAATTTAAAGTCATGCCGTTTGGATTGTGCAATGTTCCAGCAACGTTTGAAAGGTTGATGGAGCTTGTACTTACCGGGTTTGGAGATGCCTGTCTAGTCTACTTGGATGACATCATCATCGTAGGCCGTACGTTTGAGGAACACCTTCAAAACCTGGAACGCGTGCTCATGAAGATGCAGAGTGCCAACCTCAAGTTGAGTCCGAAGAAGTGCTCACTATTCAAACGGCAAGTTAGCTTTTTGGGGTATGTAGTGTCGGAAGAAGGTATCCGCACGGATCCAGAGAAAATTGCTGCTGTCAAGGATTGGCTGGTTCCAAAAGACAAGACACAGGTTAGAGCATTTTTGGGTTTGTGCTCTTATTATCGGCGATTTGTGAAGAACTTTGCAGATAAGGCCAAACCTCTGCACAGGCTAACCGAGGAGAAGCGACATTTCTGCTGGGATAAACGTTGCAATGTTGCATTCCAGGAGCTCAAGAACCGTCTGTGCAAAATACCTATTTTGGGGTACCCTGATGCGGGCAAGGAATTTATAGTTGACACAGACGCAAGTGATATAGGACTTGGCGGTGTGTTGTCTCAACGGAATGGTGATCAAGAGATTGTGATAGCGTACTTCAGCAAGTCGTTGTCAAAGCCGGAAAGGAACTATTGTGTCACAAGACGGGAATTGCTTGCTGTGGTAAAGTCCTTGCAGCATTTTAGCAAATATCTGCTGGGGCGGAAATTCCACTTACGAACTGACCATGCTGCACAGAAATGGCTATTGCAGTTCAAAAATCCGGAAGGATAAGTTGCGAGATGGATTGAACTACTGCAGGAATACGACTTTGTGATCGAATATCGCAGCGGGAAATCTCATGGCAATGCCTTACCCTGAAGATTGCAAGCATTGTACTAGGCAAGAGGGTAAGGAAGTGGTATCTGTGAGGATGATCAGGACAGACCAGCTCAGCGATGAGTGGAAGGACAGCCTACAACATGCAGAGAAGGAATATTCGGACATTAAGCCGATTCTGGAATGGATGAAGGCCAGTGCTTCTAAGCCCAAGTGGAGCGACGTCTCAGCAATGAGTTCGAACACGAAAAGCTATTGGGCCCAATGGGACAGCTTGCTGATTCAGATGGAGTCCGGTGCCGTAATTGGGAAAATGGTCGGGGAGGCAGATGTTATTTGCAAATGGTTGTCCCTAAGGCTAAAGTACCGGATGTTCTACCATAGTGGTTGTTCAGGAAGCCACCTGGGAGTTTTTTTTTATAGGAGAGGGGGCAAACGAGCATGCGGCTCACCTGATGGTGACTACCGCCGCCCATGAACAACCGCAACATCAGGGAATTTGCAGAAGCGTTGCCGGCCTTTTAAAAAGGAGTAGGCTCTTTTCTTGAAGGTCCCTAAGTCGTATCGGTCCGGAAAAATCGCTGGTGGTAAACTATTCCTCAAGGAAGTTGTGCGAGGAAGAAAACATCTTCTAAATCGCACAGTGGTGGACCGCCAATCATCCAAATGGTGTGGATGGTATCGGGAGTTCTGCCGCGATGTGCGTTCGTGAAATTTGGCAGGTGGGATTAATCCGAACAATTCCTCAGAGCACTCCCCGTGGTAAATGCGAAAGAAAATGCAAAGAGATGCATCATCTCTTCGCAGCGCGAATGAGTCGAGCCGATCGGAAAGGACTCGGTCGTCGACGATTCGAACCGCTCTGCGCTGGATGCGGTCAAGTTGAAGGAGCTGGCACTGGGGAGCCCCAGCCCAGAGATGGGAACAGTATTCCATGTGAGGCCGAACCTGCGCCTTGTAAAGTTGCAGGCGTTGAGCCGGCATGAAATACTGTCCCACTCTGCTGAGCACGCCAAGCTTTTTAGAGGCCAATTTGGCCTTCTCTTCCAAGTGACCACGAAACTGCACGTCATTCGATATGTCGACGCCGAGGATTCCGATACTGGCTGAGGCAACAAGGGGAGTACCTTGAAACTGAGGAGATACGACAAAGGGGGTCTTTTTAGCGGTAAACGCGCAAACTTGGATTAAACTGGACTAGATTTAGTCGCCCTAATCCGAGACTTTGTCGAGCAAAGACTCGACGCCAGACACAAGTTTGTTGCGGTACTCGGTGACGTTTTCCCGAGAAATATTGGCACGGCCGGTGTATAGAGCATTACCAGTGCTGTGATCCGCATAGCAATGAATCTACCGGCTTGCAACATATCATTGATATGCAGAAGAAACAACTTAGGAGAATAATTCGAAGCGAAATAACTGCGAACTAAAGTGATTGTGTTTTATTATTAGTGTGTCTTTAATTGTCTCGAACCCCAAGCTCGTAACATTATTATATATAGGATCGCAAGCAGATGGCAGCACCTATCCATCTACTCTATTGAAATTAGTATGTTTTTTAATTTCAATAGCCTCGCGAATCATCCTTGGTAGGAATCAGTGTTCTTTTGCGAGGATTTGTGGTCTATCAAATCTTATGTAATGGCGGGGACGATCTTGAACATGTTCACACACTGCAGACTTCCCGGAACGTCGGTGCTTCAAGTCAGCACACAGTTTTATTTTCATAGATTTGCACCATGGGGCAATTTTGAGTTAACGCAATGAGTCGGCGCTTTTAACTGCGCCTCAGTAAATGAGTTAACGCACGGAATTACGCTGAATTATAGTTGTTCTATTTCACGATGAAGGTTTCGCCTTGATTGTAGTAGTGACGTGTACCGACAGGCACTTTTGTGTGCGTAAGAGCGATTCGTACAACTCGCGATCGTGACTGAGCGAGTCGAACGAATCGAATCCTGAGGCCTACGCAAACTAACACAATGTGTATATGTGCACGGCTAACAACAATCAAAGTCAAAAATTCATCCTGATTGTTGAACTTATTAATATTTTTTTAATCGATTAATTGCTATTTTTACATAAAAAGGGGTTTTAGTGGCATATGGTGTGGATTTATCAAGTCCGTATGGCTTTGTAAACACGATAACTTTTGAAAATATCAATTGTTCAACTCAATCTATTTTTAAAACCCTTTAGCTATCATGTGGGAAGCCATTTAATATAAATGGCAGTTCAATTTTGTTTTGTTTAGTTATAATACACTTTTTTCGGCTGCTAAATGTTGAAATTTTCGGTGTTTTCGCAGCCTTGTGTTAGAATTTATTTGAGTAAATAGAGACTGCTTGTGCCTCACTCGCTTAGTTCGGCATCAACCGCCGTTGTGAGTGGAGACTATTTCGGTTGTTTGCAGCGGCTCAAAAAGATCGCTGTACAAATAAATACAAAATGTTCGAAAAACAAATTTCATACATACTTGATTATTACAATAATCAGAGATTTTTATTACAATATTTTAAAAGCACAGAATAAATAATATTAGTACGTACTAAAAGTAAGTAGGATGTAATATTTATACTTGAATACGTCTTGGACTTTTTGGAGTGACATGAATGATGATATGATGATTATATGAGCATTATGAGTCGAGCACTTTGGATTTTCCAAACTTTTTCAAATTGAAGTTTGACATAAAATTATCGGAAAATTGGAATTATAACAAGGTTATTAATGAAAACTTGTGTGTATTTAAATTAATTTAAAAAATTCCGTATAATCATGCTATACTAATTTTTTTTAATGCGAAGGCATTCTCAATTGGATTTATTTATTATTACGTATTACTATGTCTACTACTATGTCTATTTTGTATGTTTTGTATATAATTAATGTAGTATTTCAAGTGTATATACTGTGCGTATACAGTTAATACTTAATACTTTATTAAGGGTAGTTTGACGTAATATGCGTGCGTTATTATATATGATCTGTTTTTCCCAAACTGATGTATGTATGTAATGGAGTATTTCTGATTCACCGAACTAATCAAAAAAACTGTTTAGGCCAAATAATTAACATTTGAAATTAGCATTCAACACACGTGTCCTTCCGCTTACTTTGTAAAGGTCACCGTCGCCCCCTCTCCCATGTGGGTCGCTCGGCAGAGGGCGCGAATGCCGGACGCGAGTGCGAGAGTGGTTTGATCGCCGCGACTTTGTCTACTAGTATAAAAAGAGGTCGTTACGCGACGGTCGACGCGTGCCTCTTACGGGGTTATCTGAATTTGTTCTTTTGTGATAACGAGGCGGGTCTTAAAAATTTGAGTAAATTGTGCGCGCCTTATTTACTATGGAATATCTGGTTTCACGTGTCAACGAGGCTGATCTTGAGTTCTGATTGCGTGCGTGGTATTTTAATATCGTACGAAAGAATCTAGCTAGCCGTGCAGAACGCTAACTTTGTAACTAGAGAAGAGACCGCGTTCGTTTCCATGTTTGTGGTTCTGTGCTGGGTGAACCCGGAACCTTCAATATTGAACTTTGATCGACCGTTCATTAGTTGTGCCGTGTGTCACGTGTCTGAGTACGATTAACGAGGCTTATCCTTGAGTTTGAAATTAATTAAATGTACAATAAAGTTGATAGATTGAAATAGTGTATAATAAAGTTGATAAACTGAAATAGTGAAATAAAGGCAGAAATTTTCAATTGGTGATCTACGACTGGACGGAGCCCACATTGGGAGAACATCAGCTCCGGTGGATCTTCTGTCCAATTAAATCGGGCCGTCAGGTCACATATATAAATACTACTACACACTACTTACATACACCTCACTTATCACCTGACTGGTACCCTGTGGTCAACCATACCTCCTGAAATAGGTAAGTGCTTGCTTATTTGTCAGCCTTTTTTTTTTGAACATTTATCCATAGACCGTTGGGCCCCGTTCTCTGTTGCCCGCCGATGGCTTTACTCATGGGCCCTAGTCCAGTCAACCTTTGTTGGGGCAACTCAGGGCGTGAACAATAACATAAATGTAATTATTATTTACATAAAATGAAAAAACAATAAGAAAATCAGAAGTTTTCTCTTCCATCGTGTGGTCATAAGCATACACCCATGTTTTTTTTAATTTAATTATTTACAAAACACAGCACCATTCGCGTAAATAAATTCAACAATATTAATTTACTCGGAACTAGAATAAACCGAGAGCGGCGTTGTGGTAATCCTTGGTTCCGCAATTTCCGAGCCGTCTTATCCAGGCACGTTCTCGCCCTAGAAAGTTTCATTTACTGAAAGAAACAACATCGGTACATTGGAACACGGATAGTAATCAAATAGCAAAAAGCAACGTAGCCGTGAGTTTGCATTGGTAAAACATTTATATAAAAACATTTAAAAATTCTCACACATGCAGGTTTCCTCATGATGTTTTCCTTCACCGCCGAGCACGTGGTAAATCAGCACTTAAAATTGCAATTAACAATTTCATTAGTGCCGGCGGGGATCGAACCCGGGTTGCTCGAGTACTGTGAAGCTTACAGCGAGCGCTAACCATCTGAGCTGCCACGGCTGAGTCATGAGCATGTCTGAGAAATAAGAAAAAAATATTTCGAAGACATGTGAAGTTCGCTAACATGCATCGAGGCCGCGCCGCGGATATTTCCTTGCCCTTAAAACCCTCTCAGAAATGAGAGGAGGCCTGTGCCCAGCAGTGGGACGTAAATAGGCTGCAAGTTTACTTTACGTTACTATTTTAAAATTCAGTTTTTTGATCGTATTGCGTTTGTACTATTAAACAAAATGTTAAAGTGAAACATGTTTTACAAAATGTTTTGGAAAGCAAATGATTTCGACACAAATCATTCAAAATGTGTTGACGTGAAAACGGGTTTAAAGGTGTGTTGGCTTATACAGTCACTATCACATGTAAAGTAATCATCATCATTA